AAACATTTCAAGCAAAAATCTTTACGGTTAGCAAATTTACAGCTGAGGACTCCATTACGGATCGGGAGGGGCAGAAGGTGGGAGGGAAACAATAATAATTTGGGAATGGAAGAAAAGAAAAGCTGCACAACTGCTGAATGATAATGGCTTGAACCTTGGGAAATAAAGGTAATGGCAGGAAGGGGAGGAATTACAAGGACAGTGTGACCTCTACATGTCTTGCAGGTGCACAGGAGCTATTCCACATATGTGTGTGAACGTATAGATATTAAAGGTATATTGTCTTTAAGATAGAAAGGGGGCACATAACTGAGCCGTGATTTTGCCTACATTGTGACACATTCAAAATCAGGGTAAAGTTAGGTTATGCATAATTCAGAAAATTACCAGCTCCCAAAGCCCCTGATCTTTGTCCTCCTGGCCTGGTACACTCTGGAGACTAAATTCCCATCCCAGTAGAAATGGTGCGTGGGACCTGGGCAACACCAATGATTTCTCATCCCAGGATACAAAATAAAGTACATGACAAGCACTTCAATAAACAAGCTTTCATTAAAGGGCTTCAAGGAACATTACAGCTATTTTTTAACTCCCACAAAAGCCTAGAAGGTAAGAGCTAATTATCTATGTTTATAACTGTGTAAACTGAGATGTAAAGAGACCAACGGTAACAGACCTTTAGAAGAAACCTCAGATAACAAGTTTAAAGTGCTTCAGTATTTTGCTGAATCTAGACTCAAATAACTGGGTCAAAGTCTCACAAGTGAGTCAGACCATGACTCCCAACTCCTGCTTTCTTCACTCTCCAAACATTGGGACTATATGTGGAAGCTTGAGAAGTAATTTTATATGTGGGATGTTAAATCAGTACTTGTCCTGTCTCATCAATCTCCTGTATTTTGGTACAGTGTGAATCATTTGGTAAGTGGCACAAATTAGAAAAACCAGAAGAGATGTTAAAAATATTACTTTTTTTTTTTTTTTTAAGCACTTAACTTAGAATCCTTTATCAGAACTAAACAACAGCAAGAGCTTCACCATTGGAAAATATTTTATAGCTTACTCGAAACACAGGGAAAACTATTAAATTGACTTTGCAGGGAATTTTAGGGGAGTAGAAGCTGTCACATACAGCATATACTTTCTCTTTGCTCATAAAAACTCAAGAAGTTTTCTTACTTCAGATTCATAGAAATGAGCTAGAAAGGAGTTTTATCCATAGTACAGTTGTGCTTTTTATAAACACTTCAGAAATTTTTTTTACCTATGTGAAATGACCTGTATATTGTACAAAATATGTTTGGGGAGAGGAAAGGGAGAGAGAGAGTTTACTATGAATTTTTTAATCAAGAATAACATATTGCATCCCATTTGATAAAAAAGATTTTCATTTAGGCTTAATACAGCACATCTGCTTGAAAAATACATACAAGGCTCCCATTGACTGCTGTGGGAAGTTTGCCAATAATATTTCATGGAAGTTATCTTGATATCAGCCTTGGAAAATACAGACATTTTACAGGGAGTGTAAATTCAACAACGGAAAGTTAAAAATAACTCACTCATGCATAAAGAAATTTGATTGGTTTTACAGTTCCTAGCTTTAATTTCCAATTTTATCAGATGTACGGTCTAAGAATAAAACTTAGGTGACAAGGTCTAGTTTACAGTGAAGCTGGGTGGTTTGACATTGCAGGCCATGGCCATGAAAGATGAAATGATGTCATGGACAACACATGGACTCAACTGCACATCAAAAATACACATGAACAGTACGAGGATGAAAAAGGTCTTGCACAAAACAAAAATCTCTTTTAAAAATGCATATGAGAATGCAGGAATAGCAGTGTAAAGTAAGTAAATGTATACTTTCAGAGTGCCATGATTTCCCCTGTGTGAAAAGTCTTAGAGGCAAACTGGAAAAGGAACAGAAAATACATTTCTGTATTTTTATTGCTCCTTATTCTCCCCTTAGTTTAGGTCTCATGTATATGGGGAAATGAGGTAGTAAACTATACCATAGTGCTATCCATTCCCTGGGTGGACACTCCTGCTCCAGAATAAGAGTGGATTTTCCTGGTTAATTTATTTTGTTTTGAAAGCAGCTTAGCTGTATTGGTGAGGGGGAAAATCCACCCTTACTCCCAAATAAGAACATCCATCCAGGGAATTCACAGCTCAGATACCGCAGGATGAGTTCAGATTTTGCTTTTCATTAGTATGAAAAGGCTGTAGACATTCCCATCGTGGTGGAAGTGTGGAACCCAGGAATTCAAGGGGGATTTTACCAAAGCCTGCAGTGAGGTCAGGAGCTCACCCAGGACCTCTCCTCTCACCTGGGATGTGGGTAGGATGCACTTTAGATCCCAGGGTCCACCATTGCAACATCCTGCCCTTGGAGCTCTAAAAAAGTCCTTCAGAGCCTCTTTGAAAACTGAAACATTAAGTGTTACACACAGTGATAAAAAACAACAGATTTTTTTTTTTCTTGCCCTTTTTAAGAGAAAACCTGGCTACAGTTTTTTATGTCAGAAGAAAATCCTACTTTCCAACATCATCATGCTGATCAGGAAATAGAAGGATGTTTTGTTCCTGTTGGTTTCGTGATGTTGGAGGATGGAAAAGGTCTTCTTCACCAACAAAATACACTGAAGCACAATAAAATACACATGGGGTTACATGTGTATTATGGGGTACAGATGCTGTTAGGGGTTGAAAAAGGCCTTTGGAAAATAACAGTTGCTTTGTAAAATACCACAACGTCCCCTTCGTGGTATTTTATGGGGTAGCAACGAATTTTGTTGCTGGTGTAACAGCACATTTCATAAACACAATCTTTGTCCTGCAGTGCTTACTCTGAGAACTCCCAGCGATCCCACGAGGCTGGAGGACATGACATGACACCACCACCTGACCTCCACCAATCCTGCTGCCACCTGACCTGCCAGAGACCTTACGGTGAGAAGCTCTTCACCAGCAACCACCAAACATTCCAGTCACGCTCACAAAACGAATTGCCTTGAAATGCTAACAGTATGCCAGAAATAACACAACTCCTTCAAAGAAGCCAAGTTAGAAAGTTAGATCATGGAAACTGCTGTCCACTGCTACAAATGTACAGTCTTAAATTCCCCCCAACCAAAATGCCTCCGTGAATATCAAGTGAGTGCACCTCCAGACAGCGTGGAGGATCGGAGTTTTCATATCTAAGCTTATTATTCCTAATATTGCAGAGACACTTCCCTGAATTGTCCTTCTCCTTCCCAAATTCCCCATCTGACCAGATGTCTTTCTCTCTCTTGCTTTCACCTGTCAATCATGTTCACAGCTGAAATTTGATTTCTCTCCCAACAGTAACCTTAGATGAAATATTACCATAGGGGTCAGAACTGTCTGAACCTTGCCATAAAAGTTTGTTAACTCTTCCGAGACTCAAGAGATATTTGCTTAAAAGTAATGGATTTTGCTGCTGATTGGTTTGGGGGTTTTTTTCTATAATATGTGAAAACATAATCACAAAATAATGGAGGAAGGTTGAAGGAATTGTCCTGGAGAACAGCAGGCTAAGCAAGTCCTGAGATCACAAGTGTTCACAAGCTTTTTTTCTTTATTATATTGATAAGAAGAATATATATCACTGATTTATATAAATCTAATAGTCATATATATATAAATTACGGGAAACACAAATGTTTTCCTATGGGATTATTGAAATTAGAAATGTTACACCAGGAGCAAAGTGACAGAATATGTGCTTCACCTTTGCAAGGAAAATACACACTTCATATATTTACTTGAGCTGAATCATGACTTGGTTATGTCCTTGCAAAAAAGCATATTACACTTTAAGTTTTCACAAAAAAAACCCCACAAATGATCTGGTTTCCCTCTCATTTACAGTTGTGAAATACAGAAAAAACCATGCAATTAAGACAAAATCCTACCCAGGGTGTTCCTCGGGGAAGTGAGAGGAGCATCAAGCTCAAAAGGAAGCTCTTCTGGTGCTCCTTGAGAAACTTATTCCTGCAGCCCATATACCACGAAAAACTCCTCTCAGTGCTATTCATTTTAGAGTTTAGAGCACCAATTACATCTTCCCCATCTGCATTTAAATTTTAAATAATAAATCTATTATTTAAATTTATTTTTAAGCATACAAAATAAATCTATTATTTTATTATTGACATTTCTTTTAAAAATAAAAAATAAGTCTATTACTTAGACAAGCCTGATTCCATGAGCTAATAAAATTCAGCTGTTTTCTAATAGCACTTAACCATTGATCAAAGCACGGCAGGCTGTACAGCAGCCTGTGTTCTTAACTAAAATAGGAGGTTTCATAAAAAAAATTCACACAGGAATCTGTCATTGCAACCTTGGTGCTCATTTAACCCACTTAGTATTTTTATAGTCAAGGTCAATAAAAATCAGATTCCACGGGAAAAAAAAAAAAAATAAAGTGCCTCTTTGAGTCCAGCAGGGAAAGGGATTGAAAGTTTTAATTCCCACATTTTCATTAGCGGCATATTTTTCAGTCAATGTTGACAGACTGAATGAACATGAATTTCCAGAGGAAAGCAGTGCTGTGAATTAAACTCTATTGTAATTTGTAAGTACTGAAGTTGTCTAACACAGACTCATGATTTTCATCGAGATCTGAGGGAGATCTTCAGAAGACCCATCCTTAATCCCCGTAGCTGATGTCTGAACGCCAGCATTTGAAGAAAAAGAAAGAAAACATTTGCAAAGGATTATATATGAGTTGTGGGACACGGGAGAGCTGCCTGGCTGACAAAAGTACAAAGCCCCATCATTGCAAACGGTTTCTTGTAGGCACCTGAAAGTCAGTCTCACCCAAAAGCCCAGGAAACTGCACCACGGCCTGTCACCGGCTCCCTGGGGCTGGAGCAAAAAGCACCATCTTAGCAGCAGAAAACAAAGCAGCAAAATCACCACCCCTGCTGAAATATGTCAAATTGCTAATGAAAATGAGAACATACCTTTTTTTTTTTTTTTTGACCTCAGGTGACAGGGATTTTCACATCACCGTTGTAGATGATTCTCTCGGGTACCTAATTTAGTAAATATATTAAAATAAACCGTTATTAAAAGGAATATTTAACATTGCAAAGCCTGTCTTTTGTGCCACTACGGTACAGAATAGGACCTTTTATATGCAAATCTAAATTAAATTTAGAAAGTCTCTTGCACTGTTTATTAACTCTGAGTGAAGAAGAAATGAACACAGTTTGAAGTGAAACATTTCTAGCTCACACATCTAGTATTTACTTCACATTAATAACAGGAGACTTACTGACAAATTACCTTAAAAACATGTATTTTTGGCTCACCAGTGAATAGCAGCTTCTAAGACACAAAAGCATGTAGCTTTCTGGATTTCTTTCTTAATGATCGTTATTAGCTGCAATAATGCAATTGGCAAAATAATAATCAATTTTTGTACACAGTCCATTATTTTCCAAACAGTAGTTTAATAACAAAAGCAGAGCTGTCATTTCTCTCTGCAGTTACTCACACTGTACAAATTCATCCTGTCAACACATATTTAAAATCTAATTTTAAAAAAATTTCAGCACAGAGTGAATCTTTGTACAATAAGTGAGATAAGTCAGCGAGTCAATTCACATTTCTTAAATATGGATATTTTGTTGTGTCCCTTACAGTCAACTTTCTCTCCCTGAGTGTGCATACACAGGCATATACATATACTTTCTATAAACTGCCTGCAGGAATGCTTCAGCTTCGTCCATTTATTGTAACTGTGCAGCATAATCAGAGCAAGAATAGACCACAAGTCTGATTGACTTGAATAAAATAATAGGCAAGACGAACTATAGGTGCTTTTCCAGTGTTTTGATTCCAGATCAGCTCTGAAAACAAAAGTCGGTGGCATGAGGTTTTTTGTTTGTTTTGTTTTTCTTTCTTTCTTTCTTTCCTTCTCTCTCTCTTTTTTTTTTTTTCTTTTTTGAGAAAGGGGACCGTGCTTCCATAAATGCAATACTTGGCACCTGGCCCGGGATCTCTAAAAGCAAATGACTCCCGTGGACCTTTGGTGTCATTTTCCTCAGGACGACCTCTCCTTTCATGCCAATCGGTTAATTCATCCTGTTATTAATGCACAGGGCCAAGAGGAACAGGTACTCCAGCCTCACACCTGAGGAGCATCTAGAAAGTGATGTGGTCAACCTGCTTTTAGTCTTTGTTGTGACCATCCCAGCCCCAAACCCACAACCACTGAGACACAGCACAGCAGAGCTGGAAGAGGGGCACCAACCCTCTTCCATTGGCACGGTGCATTGATTCATTTAGCAGCTTTATCTAACTATCAATTTATTAATAAGGAAGCAGTCAAAGACAGTAAGACAGTGTGAAGGCAGCCAGAGACACTAAGCAGATTTATTCATTTAAGAAGTCTGATCACTTTCCTTCATTTTATCTGACAGAGTTGGTGTAAGACAGTTATACTTCAATAAGTTTTCTACTCTAAACTGTGCTATTTTAAAAGGATTTCACAATAAAGGAAGCTGAAAGACTGTGCACAGTCTGGAGACTGTATCTGGTGTGACATGAATATAGTATTTTAAACAGATTTAATCTTACAGTATTCCCTCTTCTACAATGACTTTGCAGGAGGAAACCCTACGGAAAGGAAAATCTGTTCATCCCACACCACAGAACACTGAATCGCACTGCAGGCTCCAGCAGCTCTTCCTACATATTAAAATGCTTTCATCGGGGAATTTGGAAGCAGTTAAGTTGGGTGGAGGATTGGGGGGGGGGGAGAAAAAAATACTAGGTCTTGTTTGGTTCACTTTTGGGCTCGTTTTTATCGTCACTGATGATGTGCTGTCACAGCTTTATGTGCTTGAGACAGCAGGGGCTGTCTGCAGTGGAGACACCTCAGCTTCAGAATCTGATACCAACAAATACCCTGATCCCATCCCCATCCCTGTTAGCAGTGACAGTCCACTGCCAAGGCCTTGGCGACAACTTTTGTCTCAAAATTGCAGAAGCAGGGTTCAGCCTCTGGAAAGTGAATCTGCCTGCTTTCTTACAGAAAAGGGCTTTAAGTTAATCATACACACACTCTGAGGTACATCCACACAGACTTGTGAAACTCAGCCTCGGCAAACGCCGCTGACTGTACTTCAGATTCTTTAAAAGCCATGAAATGTAAATCCTGCCTGCTCCCATTCCTGCTCCCTGCAGAGATATCAGGGCCTGATCCAAAATGTCATTTAAAAAACTCCCTTTGGTTGCAGTGGGGTTTAGATTAGTCTCTGTATGAGCATAGGTGTAAAGGAAAAAGAAAGGAAGGAAAGGGAAAAATTTAAGGAAAAGAAAGGAAGAAGGAGGAAAGAAAAAGAAAGGAAAAGAAAAAGGGAAAGGAAAAGAAAGGAAAAGGGAAAAAAAGAAATAGAAAAAGGGAAAGAAAAAGAAAAAAAGAAAAGAAAAAAGGAAAAGGAAAAAAGGAAAAGAAAATGAAAAGAAAAAGAAAAAAGAAAGAGGAAAAAGGAAAATAAAAAGAAAAAAGAAAAAGAAGAAGAAAAA